AGGCAGGAGGAGAAGGAGGAGGAGAAGAAGAAGGAGGAGGATTAGGGAGGAGGATAGGGAGGGGATAATGAGGTATGCGAGGATCTGGATGAGGATTATGACGAGGATTAGGGAAGGAGGATAGGAGGAGGAAGAGCAGGATAGGGAGGAGGAGGAGGAAGGAGGAGGAGGAGGAGGAGGAGAATGATAGGGAGGAGGATAGGGGCGGAGGATCGGGAGAAGGATAGGGAGAGGATAGGGAGGATGATAGGGAGGAGGATAGGGGAGGATGAGAGGAGGAGGAGGAGAAGAGGAGGAGGAGAAGAGGAGGAGGGAGGGAGGAGGGAGGGAGGGAGGGACGAGGAGGGAGGCGGACGATGGGGGACGACCACGACGCGGCACGCCGCGCCGAAGACAGCGCGCTCGTGGCCGCCAGCACCGCGGCCGGCGGAGCGCTGACCGCGGGCCGCCCTGGCACGCCGTCGGAGGACGTGTCCACAAGAGCGCGGGGTCGAATGCCGGGGCCCTCCTCCTCCTCCTCCTCCTCCTGCTCCTCCTCCTCCTGCTCCTCCTCCTCCTCCTGCTTCTCCTCCTCCTCCTCCTCCCCTCCTCACCACTTTCCACCTCCTCCGCCTCCTCTCTCCCATCCTTGTCATCTCCGCCTCCTCCTCCCGCCATCCGTCCCATCCTCCCTGCGTATCAATTCTTTTGTTATTATCGGAACCAAGCCAGAAGAACATCCCAAGGAGCCGACAGGTGTATATACCTATACGACCACCCTTCGGGGGATAAGGAGGTTCGGGGGAGGAACCAACGTCTCACTCAATCGGTCTCACTATCGATCTCACTATCGATCTCACTATCGGTCTCGCTCGATCGATCTCACTTGATCGATCTCACTCGATCTATCTCATTCGATCGATCTCACAATTGATCGCACAATCGATCTTACAATCGATCACACAATCGATCTCACATTCGGTCTCAATATCGATCTCACTATCGATATCACAATCGCTTTCGCAATCAACGTCAACATCATCATCATCAACAACATCATCAACATCAACATCATCACCAACATCGCCATCATCATGAGGGCACAGTCATCATCATCATCATAAACACCATCATCAACGTCAGCACCATCATCGGGACAACATCATCATCACCATCACCATCATCATTTCATCATCAACATCAGTATCACCATCGGGGCACAGTCATCGTCATCATCATCATCAGCAACATCATCAGAATCATCATCATAATCGGGACAGCATCATGATCACCATCGTTCTCATCATCAACATTATCATCAACATCGTCATCATCCTCGGGACACCATCATCATCATGATCATCGCATCATCATCAACAACATCATCATCATCCTTGGGGCACCATCATCATCATGAGCAACATCATCATCAACATCGTCATTACATTGTTATCATCATCAGAGACACATCAGCATCACCATCATCATCACCATCCATCTCATCATCATCAGCATCGTCATCGGGACACCATAATCATCATCAACATCAACATCAACATCATTATCGCCGGGACACCAATTCCATCAACATCATCATCACCAACATCATCGGAATCATCACCATCATCATCATCATCGGGACACCATCATCGTCATCATCAACATAATCATCATGAGCATCATCATCCTCATCATCGGGACACAGCATCATCATCGACACCATCATCTTCACACATCACATCGTCTTCATCGGGACACCATCATCATCTCATCATCATCATCATCATCATCATCATCATCTCATCATCATCATCATCAATCATCATCATCATCATCCTCGCGCGGACACCGCGGACACGGCGGGACACCGCGGACACTGCGGGACACCGCGGGACCGCGGGACACCACGGTGGACACCGGCGGGACACCGCGGGCCCGGCCGCCCGGAAGGGAATCATTTGGTCAGCCGCGCCTCAGCCACAAGGGACACCAGCGGGACAGGCGGGACACCGCGGGGCCCGGCCGCCAGGAAGAAAAATCATTGGGTCCGGGCCGCGCCTTAGCCACAGGAGACTTTCTCTCGCCCGCCACGCAGCTTCGCCTCGCCCGCACGGCACGCACGAACACGAAACCGAAATCGATTTCCCGGTAGGGGGGCTCTCCGTTCCACTTCGATCTCACCCCCCAACCTCCGATTTTCGCTGTTTCCCAAGGAGAACGGGAATCAAATACCGCATAGACCACCCTTCGGGTGATAAGGAGGTGAGGGGGGGGGAGGGACTAACGTCGCATTCGATTGATCGAACTCACTACCGACCTCACAATCGATCTCAATCAATAGATCTCACAATCGATCTGACCATCGACCTCACAATCAATCTCACAATCGATCCCACAATCGATCTCACATTCGGTCTCGCTGTTGATCTCTCAATCGATAGCACAATCGATCTCGCATTCGATCTGACTATCGATCTCACTATCAAACTCACTATCGATCTCATTATCGATCTCACATTCG